TACTGCCCACGTATAGAGGACCGTGGCCTGTCCTGGAAGTCAAGGGCGGCGAAGATGGACCGTCCTATACCATAGAACTCCCAGCACACCTCCACACTTACCCAGTTTTCCATGCATCGAAGTTGTTACCTTGTCAAACAAGTGATCAGTTTCCATCCCGTAGATCTATGATTCCGCCCGATATGGATGGGAGGTATGACATCGATGGCATAGTGGCTGAAGATATATTCAGAACTGGAGGTAGGGGTTGTCCACAGAAACAGTACAAGGTTCATTTTAGTTATCAAGAACCGGAAGACGACCGCTGGTTTACAAGATCTGAACTTCTAGAGACAGCTCCCGATATAGTCCGGGCCTACGAGAGACAGCAGAGGGGTAAAGGTCCTGCCTTGGACTGAAATTTTCTCGGAGGACCTCGAATTTAGACCGGGGGGAGTGAAACGGTATTCACCAGTTCGCAGTAGCGAATACAGATCCCAGGGATCGATCCCTAGTTCCCCATCTTACCTGTGTACAGTATTGATGTTCACCCGTAGATTTGAACCTGCGACCTGTAGGATCGCCAGTGGTAGGGAGGTTTTCATAGGTCACAGGGTAGAAGGGAATTGAACTGTAGACCTGTAGGGTAGGAGTCTAGACAGTTCCGAAGTCGTAGCTGTAGGACGGCTGAAGGGTCAAGGTCGTAGCTGCTACTTACCTGAAGGGGCAAAGTCGTAGCTGCTACAGTACCGAAAGGCCAAGTTAGAGGTTTCTAGAAGTGGCCTTTCGGAGTGAGCCTGCGTTGAACAGAGGCAAGTGGTCAAGTGCTGGTAGGCCACCTCGCTGAGTCAACAGTCCCAGTTAGGCAGTCCGGTCCTGTCCAGCAAGTACCGTCTGGAACTGTGTGCACCAGGGGCCAAGGGACACAGGGCAGACCAACGCAGCGCAGAAGTATAAATCAAGAGGCTGCGTCCAGCCATTCATTCATTCCTGCGGAAGCCATGCGGAAGCGCTGCCTCAGCAGCTTGTGCGAGGAGGTCTGCAGAAGGCCCGAAGACGAAGTGGGCGAGAATGACATACTGTAGCCATAGCAGTAGGGTAGCGGCGGCCATAGCCGCCATAGCTGTAGCTTAGGGGAAGAGTGTGTGTACTGTGTGTGTGTACTGGGTATCGCGTGTGGGACATMCAGGGTGATCCAGAGTGTGAACAGTGAGTGTTTGAGGCGCACAGTCGCCATAGCCAGTGGAAGCGAACTTACCTGGAAGACATAGCTCTGTGTACTGTGTGGGCGCAAGTCGCCAGTTGTGTGCTGCCGTTCACGTGCATGAGAAGTGTGAATAAGTCGAGTCTGATTGCAGTTTAATGGATTCTGTAATTTAATGGATTCTGTATTTTAATGGATTCTGTAGTTTAATGGATTCTGTAGTTACCGGATCATCTTCCATGGTGTGCTGGATGGGCTGATTCCTTGATGTGTATAGGACCGAGCATTTTGCCAGTACGGCCAACACTCTCCCACACACCATGCAGAACACACACACACACAAACACACACCTAGCTTTGCGGATACTTCACTGATCCTATGGGATAGGGTGCAGACGGCACACAGTTGGAAATATTACTTCTCACTATCACCCAGTGGCAGAATCCCTCTTGCTCTGGCTGGTCAATCAGGAGCGGTATGTGGATATGTACTCGCAAGCTATACAGCCTCCGGAGAATAATCCGGCTGACCCTCCCCCCTGCCATGAACATGCCCAGACAGCGCCCCTTGACTCCCTTCCCTGTGTAGATCGGACAGATTTTGCCAGGGATAGTGAAGGGCCCCCTCCAGATGACAGTGGCTGTGCCATGCCATTGTGTCTTCTTCACACAGGTACAGTCTGGTTAGCATGCACACAGCATAATCTCTGCTCCAAACACTATGAACTTGATGAAGGGATGGTCATTGCCGGCCTTTGCCATGAAAACTGTGACCCATTTACTTGGACTCGTCACCCCCCACCCCCTTATTGCCTGCCTGCCCGATATGCCGTTGTGGCCTGGACATGCCATAAAACAACTGCGAAAGTCAGCCTGCTTTCTTACTGGCATGTCAGCAACATGCCATGTGTCGTCAATGTTTCCAGGAAGCTGTCATGGAAAGTATGCATCTCTACTGCCTGGATTATCCCCCGGTGCCATCACCACCACATCCTCTCAGTTCATGTCCCACATGCAATGTGGGCATCCTCCCGCTGCACCTGTAATCGAATCTCCTCTATCCTTGCCAGAAGAGCAACAGCAGTCTGAGGTGGAAAAACAGACTCTCGCTTGAACCACCTACAGTGCGCTGTACTGTAAGGGCATCACCG